CTTACGTACGGGCACTTAAAATTTTGGCTGAATATCTGACTGAGCAACTAGGTTACTTTTAAAGAAGGATCGTTAAATGGGAAGTGTACATCTACTTTAAGCAAAATTTATGGTGATATATGCTAGTGATCGCAAAAGGTAGGTGTAAAGTAACAACCACTCATGCAGTTAATGGCCTGAGTACTTCAAATCCAGTGCAAAAACGCATGATCGCAAGGGCTCGCCCGATGCGTTCCACCCTGGGTTTTTAGTGCAAAATTTACGGTGATTTACAGCAGTGAGTACGCAAGTGAAATGTAAAGCAACAACCATTCATAAAGTTAAGGCCAGTGCTGAAGTTCCTCACCCCCACTTCACACGCATCGTATCCACTAAAATTCGTTCGCTATTTTTTTCGGAACATGCAAAAGACTTAACTTATTCCTTGAAGAACACTGCCGATTGCTACAGGCTATGTAAATTAAAATTTAAGGCTTTGAAAGCTTGAGAGAAAGGTGGATCCGTAAGATGCGGTAGAACCAAAAAAGAAATGAACAGTTTAAAAAAATGCATTTACCAGACTCAACAGCTTTCCATTCCACTTTGTGAGTCGTGTCGTCAATCTGGTATACTCGTGCTCGTTTCGTTTTTCCAGAAGGAGCTAAAATACCATAAACATTCTCTGGTTGCGAACAGTGACGCGACGCTACAAATGCCTTGGCACTTTTTCTGATTTATAATTACTTTCTGATTAATAATTCATAGGAAGACATAGATTTTAGCAGAACGAGGGAAAAAACAGAATTTCAGATATCCAGCGCACAACAAAATTGCGTGAAAGGAAATTAAACGTTTTTAAGACAATATTCATCAGTCCATGAGACATGCGACTGATTTTGCAGCTTAGAATAGGGTACTCGCGATAGCACAGTGTTACTGGCATCTGTTCAAATAATCGTGGTTAAAATAAGCACTCTGTGTTTCATCTCTTAGCTATAAACAAAAACAGAGCAAAAAAAAAAAAAACTTTTGTCCTAAAGTGGCCAGTTTTTCATTAATCAAATAATCAAAACATCACAAAAGAAAAACCGCTCAATCGAATTTTTGGGAGCTGTTATTTGGAACAAAATTCCCCACCAATATTTGAAATATTTTGGCATGATCGAAACTAGGGTAAGGAAGAAATCCCATGATCGCAACGCTAATTATCTTATGCATTTATCGCATGGATGCCAGATGTTTTCGTTGAAGGACAGGAGATCAAAAAAAGAGTTTAAAAAATTCCATGATGTAAGAGGCCAATGACATTATTGCAACAATTTTAATGCAATGTTTGCTATTTTCAGCCAATTAAGTCGCCACAGATCAATGGTCCACTCAGTTTCTCCAAAAATCAGAGGTCATTTCGAAACTGATGCTTCCAATCGCATGGTACGGCTCTATTTACGTCTGCGGTAAGAAATGAAAAACAAATTGCTCTACGATTTGTTCACCAAAAATCGAATTACAAGTGACATGCAGTTAAAGTTCGTGTAATGGCAGCTAATCCAAGTAAACACCCAGCGTTGTTTGTGTAATGCTTGAGTAACACATACTTCCTATTCGTGCCCACCCACCTTTAAAAGCAATGACCGTTTCTGGGTGCAGTACTTCAGCATTTGCTTTAGATTAGTTGCATTGGTGGGCCATGGTCGGCACGCGCAATACTCAGATTCAAACATTGTGATTTTAATACTAGCGTTTCTCAGTTCTGTTGATCGGATTTATTTTCCCCGAGATTCTAATCCGGTATTTTGAGCCACTTTCTAAGCCGACTGTAGCAACCAGGTTGATTCTGGAAGCCTAAGTGGCAAAGGAACGATAGATTACAGCGTGAGAGAACGGTATGAGAGAGAGAAAAAGAGCGAGATAAGGCGTTTCGGTCCATTAAGTCTAAATCTTTTTTCGAGCAAATTTGCTACCTCAAATACAGTTCGGAGTCTCTCTGGCACTTTTCTGCTCTCCTTTCGCTAAATTTTCCACCTTTCTGCTCCCTCATTTTTCCACCTCACACAAAAACTCGCTTTGACGCTTCCGAGCTCAATAGGAGAAAAATGCCAAACCCTCGCCTTCACTGCTTGATAATCGTGTAATTTATAATTTATGTTTGGGATTTAATTAGGATCTTGTTGTTCAGAAATATGACAATGAACTCATGCAGGTGTTTGCAAATGCAAATGAAGTTTAGGCACAAACCAGATAATCTTTTAAAACTTTTCACTCAATCTCTTCAAGTATTGATAATCCCTTTCAAAAACGAAATGAACATGAAGGTCATCAGAAGGGCAATCACCGGTCAAAGTGAATTACACTTGATCCAAGTATTCCAAACATTCTTAAACGTAAATGAACATTGATTTTACGCTTACGACGAGGTCGAACGTGGGGAAGGAACATTCCCAAACAAGTTGGTTGGTTTCAGTTCTAATAAGACTACGTAAAATTACCTGTAATAGTGACAGTGAAATCTTTGCAATCAGCTCCAACAGCATGAATGAGAAATGTACTGAGTCGATCAACCGACGCTGTTCGGAGATTTTCACCATAAACAGACACAGAGTTCGCATTTGCTATATCCAGAATGAAGGGAGAACCTAAAATTTCGCTTTTTATTGTCAATGTTGCAGCATAAGCGAAAAAGCTACAAATGACCCGTTGCCCAAAATCGCAGTTATCCAAGCGAATCATTTGTCAAATTTCAGCTAGCATTCTGTTTCTTATAAGCAAACTGTAGCAACTAGGTTGACCCTGGAAACCTAAATGGCGAAGGCGCGATAGATTACAATATGAGAAAAGGAGCTAAGAGTGAGATAAGACGTTTCGCAGTACGCCTTAACATAACACCGCGACAGGACCGCGTCAGTACGGCAGTCGCAGTGCTTATAAAACTGCAACTTCCTGGAATTCCTGCGAAAATGCAGTTCGTAGAAAGTCAGTTTGCGGGTAGCTGCACGCGTCGAGCCGTTTTACTCCATGCATTAATCAACACTTTCTATTCTCTCCTGCCAAGAATACCGGGATCCTTCCGGCATCAACATGGATATCTCTTGCCAGTGTTGTTACTAGGATACTCCTATACACTCAATTATACCAGATCCTTCGATCCTAGGCTGCATACCTCCACATTGTATACATCAATAAAATGGTAATTTGTCATTGTTATTCTACAGTTAAGGTACCAATTAATTTGTCGATATCTCGTACAGATGACCGCAATTTTGTACAGAAAATCCAACATTTCTTGTACAGAAGATCCCATATTTCCCACATTTCTCAAAAAATCACACGCGTGTACAAAGACAGCACATAAATGGGGCACTGGTACATGTACGGCATGGCTGCAATACATGTGTGCTGATGCTTATATGTCGTTGCACAATCAACACTTTTTTTACGAATATCAGTGTCCAGCGCTAACAAAATAACTGGGATATCTCAGTATCGAACTTTTGCAACTACCAAAAACTGGACCTCTCAGTTTGTTCCCTTGGCATCATTAGCACGGGTTTCGCCCTATCATTGTCAAATCGAATATCGCTCAGACCCATAAAGCAGTCAATCTAATTTTGAATGATAACGAAATTTTTCTAATCGGTTAATATGGTACCTCTGCACTAATCGGTTAATACGCCAAGAACCGCTTGGTGAATAGTCCATGCTATCAGATACTGACAGGATCTCGGTATAGAGTTTTCAGGAAGACAACAATTGCCCGATCTCCCTCCTAGTTCAGAAGTTTTTGTTCGAGTGTTTCAGTTCAAAAACGCAAAAATTACCTTTAACTTCTGAATTATTGAAGAACACCATCACTTTGTATTGGCCTGCGCCATCTGGAGTGAAACTAACACAATATACACCAGAGTTACCTTTCTGGATCACTTCGCATGGCAAACTACGACCATGACGCATTACGGACACCTGAAAAACAACAGTTTTTCCGCTTGAAAAAAAAA